TGTTGCGTTTTTCTTGTACAAAATCAGAATGTTAAGAATAAATTCATATAAAAAATATGAGAGAAAAGAGAAAAAAATAAAAGAAATTCACAACAAAAGGATTTGTATGTAAAAACCCAAAATGTAAAATTTGTATATAAAAATTTGAAAAAAATATTTTCTTAATTTGCACAACGTAAAATAAAAGAATTGATAAAAGATAAAAAAAGATTCTATTTCTATTTTTAATTTTATTTTTAACTACGTTCATAAAAAAATATAACTGCGAATCTTGAATCTATTTTATTTACATATTCAAGGTTGGTAACATTGGGTAACATAACCTATATCATAATTATTTACATATTAAGTTAAGCACACGTGAGTTTGGGAAAGAAGATGCAGTTAACAATGTCGAAAGGATTTAACAAAGAGGAAATACGTAAAATGCTTCAAAAAGAAGAACAATTTATTTCACATATATTATCTATAATGCCCGTGTCGGCGTATGAATTAGGTGAATATAATTTTTTATTAGGAAATATAAAATATGTAAAGAATTTTTTAAAACAATGATTAAATGTATGTAATAATATATTTCATATTTTTATTTAGCTGAAAAAAATAATCCAACGAAGGAAGAAGAGCCTACAAAAAAAGGTTATCTCTTTGTTTATTTGAAAGTATAAATCTTGCAGAATTCGCTCTATTCAATTCTTAACCAATGATATTCTATCTACATTTCTATTTTGTAATATATAAGACATAGTAACAAACATTGTAATTATTTTAATGATAATATTTTTTGTTTCAAGAAAGTTTGCATTTTTTCCGTTTATTAAAAGAAATTTTTATTCTCTATGAATTTTATTGATGACTTTATTTTTTACTGTATTTTCCATTGCAGTGAAGAATTTTGCTATACCAGGCAAGAAAACTAAAAGAGCACAGTCCTTTAAAGAATTACATGCAAAATTGGAGGAATTAAAGGGTGTAAAGAAGTTGCATTACAAACAGAAACTTCTTAAAAAAACTTTGAAAAATAAACTGAAGAAGAAGACGAAGAAGGAAGAACGTTTATTACAGAGAAAGCTTGCTAGGATAGAACAAAATAACGCCGATGGGAATAAAATAAAGACGGAAAATGAGGAAGTTCCAAAAGTGCCAAAACCTAAACCAGTTTTCAATTCGGAAGGTAAAATGGTGTTTAGCAAATTTGACTTCTCTGAGATTGGCGTAAAGAAAAAATTACCTAAGAGTCAGAATGATCCTAAAAAGATGTTACAACAACTACAACAAAAAAAGGAAAAATTAAAGCAATTAGAAGATTTAGGAGATAAGGAAGAAGCTGAAGACATTAGAGAGAAAGATGCATGGAAATCTGCATTGGCAAAAGCATCTGGTGAAAAGGTGTGTACTCACCTTATTGTATCTAAAAATTTATTTTTTAATATCACAATGTCTAACAAAATACATAATTGGTTTTATTTTATAAATATCTTACATTCATTTTTTTGTATTAGCTAATTTTTTTTATAGTGTAATATATATTGTGAGTTTATCATTGTTTGTTCTTCATATATATATATAAATGTTTTCTACATTTTCAATGCATTTATATTGTTCAATGCACTTATTTGACAGGTTAAAGATGATCCTGATTTGCTGAAACGCACTATAAAACGGAACGAACAGAAAAAGAAATACAGTGCAAATAAATGGAATTCCAGGATAGAGAACGTACAGAAATCTATGCAGGAAAGGCAAGAGAAGCGACGAGAAAATATTATGAAAAAGAAGAAGGAAAAGAAACAGAATAAATTGAAAAAGAAAGGACGCATAATGCCCGGATTATAACAGTCGATTATTTACATAGCTATAATTGCAAATTGACTTTGTAAAATTTGTGTTATTACGTATCCTGGACTGTTGAAAATCATTCTATTCATCAATCTGATATAGGAAGGCAGATATCATGTTATATTTTTGGTTTAATAGAATAGTTGGATGTTCATAAAAGCGTACATTTGTGTACAGTATCAATCTTCATAATACATTCACGAATAATAACTTTATTCATGTAATTTCATTTGTACATTAAAAATCTGTATTTACACTGATATATTAGTATTGTAGACCAGCTACTTCCTACAGTGATCGCGTACGTTTTGGATTTTAACTATCGTGTAAAAAGCTCCACTCGCAAATATTACGAGCAAATAGTACAAAATTTCACGTTGGTCGTAATGTTCATAATGTTGCGGTATACATGCATACGCACACATTCACACAAAAGGAATACGATGCTCTACTTTTCGAACATCATTTTGTTGTGAATTTTGTTTTATTATTTACTTCTCTTGACATTAAAGCATTGTATATTTTTCTGATATTTCACACAGTCATTATCGCGATATGGTAGTGCTTGAGTAAAGATGTCCAACTTTCTTCCGATGCTCCAAGAGACATTTTCAGAGAGGCCGGTCAGTAAATGATAGGCAGATCTAGGACGAGACTTTTGATATAACTGCCGTCTTCCACCTCCTGCTAGGTATCTCCTAACGCCGCAGAGACCGCATTAGCGTGTGTCAAAGCTGTCCACAGCGGACTATGATCCACAGGCAACGGCACCGCCAAAGATTTCGATGGTCGTGGAGACCTGTAAAAATGGAATAAATGCAACCATATCTGCAAAACACACTAACATTTTACGAAGACTTTAATTAGTTTGGACTTTCTACAAGACATAATCTCGAATATTCAGATGACTTCAATACAGTATGGAGACATCAGATTAGTCTTGATTTTCTAATAATCTGAAATGATCAGATTAGTCTCATGATCACTTTAATCTCATAAACATCTGTATAACGCGTAAAAAATTGATATATTGGTCAATCGTTTTACTTTATTCTTAAATTTAGTAATATTTTATTTTTTACTTTGTATATATATTTTAGGCTCTTGTTTTATATGATATTCTATTATATTCTTATACATGCTCTCGACAAAAAAGTTTTATTAACAAAATATATTGAAAATATAAATATTTATCAGTTATAAAATTGTCAGATTTAATGAATATTTGCGAGGAGAGTAGATAGGTGGTAGAAATTAGCATATATCGATATTTTTTATTTAGTAAAGGAATCCCATTCTGAAGAATTTTAATTTATTTTATCCATGTATAATATTCATTTCTACCAGTATAGATTAATTTTAATTTTATCTTTTCCTAATTCTTAGAACTAGAAAAAAAATAAAAAGTAAGTTAAATCGAGATTAAAGTTAATCTACGTTGGCAGAAGACATTATTGGACATTATTGAATAATTCGAATCGAAAATTGCGCCCTTTTCAATATTTGAACTGTAAACGTCACAATTGCGTCGACCAATCAGCGTGCTTGTACGTAATATGTACGTTACGTGCTAAACGAAAGTTGCATTGGTAAAAGTGAATGATATGACGATTGCGGTTTGTCGTGATTTTTTGGTCCGATGAGTTTTCGCGAAAATCAAGTCCGAGCATGTCGTTTTCTTGTTAAATGGCAGTCTAGTCTGATTTTCGTTCATTTGAACGAAGCATCGATCGAATCGGTTAAGGCTCGTAGTTAGGGCAAATTGCTAATGTATATAGCTTCGCCATTCAATCCACGATTAATGCGATTGCTTTCGGCACAAAGCTCCAAGGTGAGATATCTCGTTCTATTAATTCTGGTATTAATTTGGCCGTATTCTTGTTATAAAAAAAATTACAGACTTATTGCTCTCATTAAATAAATACGAGCGAGGGACAAAAAATCATCCCGGTTTCGAATACTTTCGACGTCAAAGGAAAGGAAAGGGGGAGGAAAAAATACTTTGGCGTCATTATATTGTCGTAATTATTTTATTAGATACCGGCGTTGTCCAATCAGCGCGTTTCTCCTACGAGTCGCATAACTCAGATAAGTTCAGATTGCTAACGGAAGGAAGAAGGAAGAAAACGCGGTGTCGGGTGACCAATTTCGCAATCTTTATTCGATATATTTGTTTCGAGAAATATCTGAGTCCGTTCGCGTTGCGGTTACCATTAGTGGTAGCTAGTTCGATTTTCGTCTAATCGATCTAATAAAGCATCAATCGCTTTCGTCAATCGGTTGAGTCTCGTATACGCAAGTTGGCGCAATTAATGCATGTAGTTCGCTGTTCGCGGCCATTATAGAATCAGCCTCGACTAACGCAATTGCCTTCGGCACGAAGCTCGTAGGTAAAATAATCTTTATTAATTTTAGAAGCGTATTTTTGTAAAAAAAAAATTGACTTTTATTCTCAGAACACACAGAATAATAATTAAGTCATGATATCATAGAACGTCATCATATGTCGTTTGATAATTAAAAATGAATTTATAAGTGATAAATAACATCACTACATGTGACAATGTCTCTGTGATCTCGGGAAAAAAATGTTATATATGGGGACATATTTTATATAATTGTATGTAAAATATGTCAGTTTTTTATATAATTATATATAATAATATATGAAACATTTTTTCCCGGGATATTAATATGATTTCTGTGTCCTGTTTGCTCTTATTGAATGGTTGAGGAATAAAAATATTCCGATTTTCGAGACTATTTTTGACGCCGAAAATGAATGGGAAAGAGGAGGAGAAAAAAAGACGCCTAAGTTTTGGCACCACTGTAATTATCTTAAGTACAAGCGTCGTTCAATCAGTACGTTTTTCCTACGTTATTCGCGTAATTCAGATAAATTCAGATTGCTAGCGAAACGAAGAGGAAGAAATAAGAGAAATGCAGTTTCGTGTGACGCGCGCTCGAGTTTTCGCGAATTATTATTCAATTATACGCGTTCTCTTCGAGAAATATCGAGTTTGTAATTGCATTGCAGGTGCTGCTAATTAGAGAGCTGTTTGATTTTCGTCGGTCTAACAAGTTTTTAAAGGCAACGCGCAATTGCTAGAGAACACAGACGTCATCATTCGCATTGTTTATTCTCGATCGACGCGACTATTGTCGGCGTCACAGATAAGATTTTATTAATTTTCAAATTGCACTTCTGAAAGAAACATTAATTTGTATTTCATTACGTGTAATAAAAAGTTATCCCATACGGTTTTGAGAAAATTTACGTCATGGAAGAGAGTCGGGGGAGAAAAAGTCATAAAGTATTTTGACTGTTTCTTACGTTTAACGGGGACTAATCAGCGCATTTCTCTTAAATCGATTCGCGTAATGCAGATAAATTTATATTGCTGGCGGAAATACGGAAAGAAAAAGCGTAAATGTAATTTCGTGTGATGCTCATGGATTTTTGTTGTTTTTTATTCGAACGTTCTCTTTTAAAAACACCGAGTTTAATTGCATCTTGAGGGCCGTTAATTAGCAATCTGATTTTCGTTGATTCGAAAATTACGACAAATAATTCATGAATTTTTCCAGGCTTGTGTGCAATTATTACGCCATTATTCAAATTGCTTCTCGATTGGCGAGATTGCTTTTGAAATAAAGACTCATAGGTGAGATAACTTTTTATTCATTGTAAAACGATGCTTTTGTGAAAGAAATATCAATTCGAAGTTAATCAGAAATTTTTATCACGGATGAATATGAGGGCAGAAAAATGAGAAGTCATTAATATAAAAAATTCTTGGCGCAAAAAAAAGGAAGAGGGACAGACGTTCTAATCTGGAGCAGTCAACAATAATATTGTATAATTGTAACTTATGTTTTACTATATTTTAACTATTAATATTTTAATTCTGATTTTAGGTGTAGCTGTTGTCCAACTAGCATCTTTCGCGTTCACGAGTCATATAATTCGAATAAAAATTCAGTTTGTAAAAGAGAGAAAAGAGGAGAGTTTATAGAAAAAAATAGATAAATTAAAAAAGAAATATAGCTTTGTACAACGCGTAATCTAATTTCTTGTAATCTTTCAGCCACTCATATATATTTGTTGTAAAAAATATAATTCTGATTGCGTCGCGTTATTGTTAATTAGCGAACAAGTATCATTTTTATTGTACGGTATTAACAAAGTATTAGTTGCTTAATCCGCAAATTGATGGATGGAACTCGTACACAGTTATTAATGCATAAAGTTTCACTATACAAACTTTTTATTCGATACAATTATTTTCTCTACAGCCGTTCGTAGATGAGACATTTCTTTTTTATTAATTTTAAAACTGCATTTCTTGAAGAAAATACTGATTTGAAATTAGAGATTCGTATCGTGTAATTAGCAATATTTTTATGAAAATTTATGAATGGGGCGGGATAATTTTAACGTATCTCATCGTTATTACCTCGACAGTGCCAAAGCCGGATGCTAGTCAGGACTACTTAATTCGAGAGCGGTGCTCTGCTCAGGATCTGAACGCTCCTCGACGACGGTGTCCAACTCCAGGGATGAGAAGGCTCGGGACTCTCTATCACCTCTTAAGGACACGGTACGTGCCGGTCGATCAATGCCAGCTGCGAAGATGCCAATAACATGTAAGTCGTATTATTAAAAAAATGTTGATATCATTTTGTTTGAACACATTCGCACTATCAGAGTTGTAAGTTTTAACAATTTAAGAATATCATTTCAGGATTCATTATTTATATTAAAGACAAGACACGAATGTGTTTAATACGAAGCAAATTAAAACATTTTCCTTCTTTTTATTCGTGTTCTTTGCTCTGCTTGCGATTATTGAAATTCGAAGAATATCCACTGGCGGAAATTTGATTTGCCATTGATAAAGCTTTTGACATTGAAAATTTCTACTCAAATTAACTACAAGAATCTCTAAGATTCCTAATTGGCTAAACTAATTTACGTACAAACGAACCATGCAATCTAATATAGCTTCAATTTTATTTTTTTTTTATCTAATCTAGGAATAAAAAAAACGTTGCGTCATTTTCATAAAATAAAAATGGAAATAAATAAAGTTTCCTAATATGTCAACTATTCCAATATTTTTACTAAAAATCGCATATTGAATAATATTAATATTATCTCATTCTTATACAAACCTAATTATATTCTAACTTGATTATCCTATGGCATTATACAAGTCACAAGCGCTGGCACATTAGATCAAAAATATATTCTTTTTTCAAATGCTAAAGAAATTGCTGTAAATTATATGTTACATCCGAGCAAATTTCTAAGAATCGAGCGATGCTATTAACTACGTTGTATTTTACCTAAATCCTCTCTCGATGCTGTGCTTGCCAACACAAATAAACCTTTCAGTGCGGATTATTTTGTACTATATGATTTTATTCTATAAATAGACATGCATTCCTTTATATGAAAAAGTGAAAGTTACTTTTAAAGGGTAAATATTTAGATAACTGATTTAAGCTTACACTGTATGTAAAATTTAATCCTCTTTAACTTTAGAATAGGGAGAGTTTCCTGATACAATAATTAATTAAATCGATTTAACCTCTCTGTGTTAAAATTTTTTCTTTTTTGTTTGTTTCGATGCACGTAATAATTGTATTCTCATTTAGGAGAATAAATTTTAATTGCAGAAAGATATTTAAATGAGAGAAAACAAATAATTAATAAATGTCGCATGTCACAATAATATGTGTATTCATGTTGTGATATTTTCGATAAATTTTCAACTGACTTTAATTCTTTGCGCAAACTTCTCTTAACATAAATGCAACAATAAAATCCGGATTTGTTAAATTACTTTAAGCAATTATAAAAGCAGCCATTCTTATGCAAAGATGCCATTCTTAAGCTCCAAAGATACGATAGAAGATAAGAATAGATAATAAAATCTTATTTTTCACTCTAAAGTTTTATATACATAATAATTGAATATTTATTCATAATTAATTCAATATTTAATCATTAAAATAGACATTAAATCAACATTAAAAATTATGAAATAGTGTGAAAACAGATGCTATTTGATTAAATTATGATAAGAAAAAATCAGGTTTAAAGTTTTCCAAAAAATCTACAGGTAACATTACATGTAGATTTTTTGAAAGAAAAGA